ACTTTCTTGTTCCAATTTTGGCTTTACAATTATAATATTTTCTCTCTTCATTTTTCGAGAGAGAGAGAGAGAGAGAGAGAGAGAGAGAGAGAGAGAGAGAGAGCAAATGAGAGATAGAAAAAGAGAGATAGAAAGAGTGGAAAGAGAGAAAGCGAGAGAGAGAGAAAGAAAGAGAGAGAGAGAGAGAGAGAGAGAGAGAGAGAGAGAGAGAGTGCAATGAATGAAAAACGAGAGCAAATCCTTAAAAGAAAAAACCACCATGAGAAACATAAGTAAGTAATAATACAAATACAGTTGTATCAAATAATATTTTAATCTAATTGTTTTTATTAAATTAGAAAAAAAGAGGTATGATCTATACAATTTATTAAATCTTACCTTTTCTTATTGGTGTGAATCATATAACAATATATGTAAAACGTATAAAGGCAGTGGAATAATATTTAAAAGAAAAGTAACACTAACAAAAGAAATACTTATCATCTATTTTCTATTATATTTACTAGAAGATGGAAAAGTATTACCATCAAACAGATTTAATTTACGTGCTGTACCAACGATTAAAATGTTAGTAGGTTGACAGCAGTATAAAGTAATGAATGCCATATGTAATAATAGATTATGTATTGAAAACAGTCATTATACAAGTATGTAGAAATGGAAAATCGAGCTGGCTCAAAATTGATGGTATGCAAATTAGAAAGCACCACTGACCGGAAGGCTATAAAGTTATGTTTTTCTGATTATGTTTTTTTCTTAAAAAAATAAAGAAATAAATATTTTACTATTATTAAGAATTGAGAAAAAAGAATAGAAAAAAGATGAATTTAAAGATGAACATATAATCTATAAAATGTGTGATATCTCGAAACACTTACCTTTTCAAAAAAAAGAAAACACGCGTGCATCAAGTACACGCCAAACAAAGAAAACAAAAACAAACACATCTCTTTTTATAAAACCTGTTTTACAAAAGAAGTTATATCAAAAAGTAGCATCAAGTACACTTGTGTACATTTTAATTAAAAACATTATATAAAAACTAAAAAGTATAAAATCATTGTATCAATAGGTAGACTTTGTCTTTTGTGAAAAGTCGGAACATAAAACATAATTAAGGCAAAAAACCTTGGCGTGGTTGCACCTCAGTTAGTGAATAACATGTTTATCATAAACGTGTGCATGAATCTGATGATAACTAATCAGTAATGTTTTCTTAAATACCTCTTTCTTTTCTGAAGCATTACTGGTACACATAGATACATAATAAGTACTTGTGTTTTAGTGTTCAAGTATTAATAAATTTAGTAATTCTCATATTCTTTAACATATTTAAACAAAGTATTATATACTTCACGTAAAGTATACCAAATTTTTGTTTTCATATACACATAGACTTAATTGTCAATGGAAAAATAAAGATTTATATTTTATATAAATACTTTTAGAGACATAGCATTGTTCTTTTTAAACCAGACGAGAAAAAGTGAAAATCTTATTAAAAATTTGGTCCACGGGAATTTCCCCCCTTGTCTGAAAAGAATTAAATAGAAAAGAAAAAAAAACGTTACAGTTCGACGTTGTGTTTGTTTACTCTAGACAGGAGTCTAGAGGAGAACAGAAGAATTCGTCGGGACTCTAAAGACGTCAGGAGCTGGTGTCAATTGGGTTCAAGGAGCTTGGATCCTGGAATTGACGGAAACCAGCATGTTAATTGTCGGGACGACAATCCTTGAAGAAGGGGAGCAATGTTATGCCGCGGATACCACGTGCGTGCCGCTCAATGCTTTTGTCGGTCGCTGAGCGACGGGGTTGTTGACAAGAAGATTTGGAGTGACGAAGCTGTCACAACGCACCTCGTCGATTCTCGTTACGTTATATTTCTCTTAATAAAGTCTAATATTAAGAGATCTCGCGTTGTTTTCTTGCTTCGGCCGCGCGTTTGCGTCTGGTTTGAAGAGCGGGAGTGACGGCTCGCTCGCACGGGCGCAGCAATACTAATATACTAAATACTTTTAAATAAAAGTACTTTTTATTCTTAGAATGTACTTATTTTATTTTAAACAATACTGTAAGAAGTATAAGAAGTTTATCGGAAAGTAAATCTTTCTACACACTTATTATTTATATATTTATTATTGTATTGATTTATATATGTATTGTGACGTTTTCTGGCGGGTGGTGTTACATTCTCGCGCCGCTTCCCCGAAAACAGAGCGTTTCACACGGGACTCGAACGTCCGCGAGAATAAAGCGTTGACTTCAGGCAGGACAGAAAAAAAAGAGTTTATCAGAGCAAACCGCTGCGCCGATCCGACGATTCATGGATTAAAAGGTGGGCGCCAGACGCTTCCCCGCGGCAAAGTCGGCGTCGGTTGACACAACGAGCCAACTAGCTCGGTCTTTTTTTTAAGACAGAGAGGGGCTCGGTTTACGTAACAAGGTTAAAAACAGGCTGTCCCAAACAATCAAGAGCAGCAATAGAATTGGGCTGATAGATTGCCGTGACCGAAACGAGAATACGGCTGTAACCGGGCGGTTAGCTAGGCGTAGGCTAAGCCGGCGAGAGGGTGCAAGCAATAGCACATTAGTAGTATGTGGGCACTTATGGCGCGTCAAAACAAATTCCCTTCACCTGGCCCCCTCACCACTTCTGGCGCCATTGCCCCACCAGGGTGGTTTTTCTCCTCCCTTGGGGGGTGATTGGCCACGCCCACTGGAAGGGATAGAAAAGTGACAAGATTTATGACCCTATAAATTTTTTATAAATTTTTTATAATTTTCTAGAAATGTGTATTTAAAATTTTTGTTGTTGAAGAATTTGTGTGGAAGGAAAGTTCGAGAATGTTCTCGAGTAAGAAATCTTTATTAAAAAAGTATATATTTATTGAAAAATCCGTTTTGAAGCGTGGCTGGTACTGGCAATGGCGGCGCTCTAATGTTGTTGCCTCGTGCGTTCAAACGTGTATGAGAGCAAGGTGGCGTCGGTTGAGTGAGGGAGTATAAGGGCGGGGGTGGCATCGGTCCCGAGAAGAATCAATCAGCGTCTGGACACTTATGGCTCCCAATGAGCGAGGTTCAGGGGTAGTTGATGGGGATAATAGAGCCACCAAAGAAGGACCAATGAGCGTCTGGGCACTTATGGCTCCCAATGAGCGTGAAGCATAGTTGAGGGCGTCTAGGCGAAATAGAAATCGAAATAGAAGTAGGCGTCGCAAAACTGTGACTAGAAAGTCAGGTATATATTCTGATGTAATATAAAAAATAAATGTATGTGTCCGGATTTTTTCTGAACGATTTTTATCTGCGCGAACTTGTACGTGCGGGTTGACACGTGCGTGCCGATAAAAACATAATTTTTTTTGAAGACAAAAAACGGTTTATGACTCGGGACCGTTAAATCTGCGCGTACTTGTTCGCGCAAGAAACTTCGAGAAAATTCTACGAGAGTTTTTGATGGATATTTAATGTAGACTAAAATGTTTATAACAATGTGTGAGGAGTTTAGGAATAGGTTTCTTGAGAAGAATAACAGAAAACAACTTAGTACAGTTATTCGATATAGATATATTTTGAATACATAAAAGAAAANACAAGATTACAGTTGATTATTTTTTTTTGTTTTACAAGTACAGTGTTTAATATAGTGTTTAGGAAAGCGGGTTTGTACATTGTTAGATTTTGTAGAGAATATTTTACGAAATAAACATACAATTAATTTGTCGTTGGCGTCGCAATTTCCGAAAAACAGTTGTAAAAATTGGGAAAGGCTATACCCGTGAACCATAAAATAGAGAAACACACAGCAATAATACCCGCACGTTTGCGAGAAATATCCTTGAAATTGAGTCGAGTTTTATGTGTGCGTTGCGGAATTTCTTCGAAGTCGCAGAAGGAGGCGGGAATCTGACGGCGGTATTCCATAGCTGTTGAAGTAGGTGGCGTGTCTGTTTTCATCGAGGAAGAAGGCAACCCAGTGGGTTCCTAGTTGATTGTGATTGTCTGTGTTAGCGACAATTGCTGTCCACTTCGTCCACATCCTGGGCAATTTGTCGGCTGGATAAACTCCCGTGTGTTCAGATATTTGCAGTTGTCGCAAGGCTTGCAATATTTCTTTTGTATTCATTATTTCGATACAGATAGTCGCGAAAGCGCGGAGTGAATCTTATGTATTTCCCTTGTACCTCTGTTTGTACAGCGACGTCGTTTAGGCAGGAGGTTTTTGGTGGGCAATCGTCTTCACTGCGCGTATCTTCTTCTTCTGTTAGTTGTTCTTTCTCCTTCTCCGTTTTGATGTCGTCAGATTGTATCATGCTGATCTCATCGCTGACAAAGCCGCTATCGAGATATTCTTTAAGTACAACGCTGTTTAGGTTTAACCAGCGTTTTAACCAAAAGGCGTTACGTAGAGCACAACTAATGTCCGATGAGCGAACTCCGTGATACGAACACTGAGATATGTTCTCTTTGCTTTCCGAGATGGATTTGAACGACGGAGAGAGAGCTTCCAGATTATATATGTTTTTAGGCAGAAGCTTTTCTAAGAAATCCATTTTTTCTTTACCTCTGGTGTAGATAACGGGAGCGTATTTGGTGACTTCTCGTAAATGTCTCGTGAAATATTTGAGATTGGTTTTACCGTTAAACCATTCGATACCGTGATAAATTNGTGTAAGCCAATCGTTGCATCGTTTTGATTTTTGTGGTAATTTGATGAACGAGAACGGAGGCATCAAGATCCAGTTTCCGAAAATCGAGCGGTCTACCGCGACATACGCCATTTCTTTTGGAATAAATTCATACACGACGCCGCGACATCCTTGCATTTCTATGATTACAGCACCTTTATACTCGGACATCGTAAAAACGAAGCGAAGATAACGGAGACTAAAACGAAACTGAAATTTCTCCACAAAACGCTTGCGTCAAAAGGCGTAGAAATGTGGGAAAAATGTAGTAGCGGAAAATTATCTTGGTTTTACGCATGTGCAGGAATATGATTATCCGTTATAATCAACAATGATTTGGCGCGAAGAATCGATTTCCAAAACACTATCAAATTCCGCATAAACAAGCCAGTTAATAGTCGTTTCGAGAGCTTTTTCGAACCGTGCTTCAATTCGCAAACTACCGTGCTTTACGAGATTCCAATGTTCGACGCAATTAGCCAATAAATCGGGTGTGAGATCAAAAGCGAAGACTGTGTATCCGTGAGCATAAGCATCTCTGCTTATAGCATTGCCTTCGTTTAGAAAATGAATACCCGTTTCTGAGAAAAGACTATGAAAAGCCTCGATGTAGAGAGAAGAGTTTCTTGAAAAAGAAGGTTGTAACGGTTTAGTAGGAACTTGCATTCCATCGACGTAAAGCGACAGGAAATTTATATATTAAAGTTTTTAAAATTAAACGGATTAAGTTTACTATCGCCGTTAAACGCCTTATTTTTGACAAAACCAATTATTACTCGCTTCGGCAGTTGCCAGAGTATGGCGTTGTCAAGTGATTCTCCCACCACTCCTCTATGGATTGTAAACGATTTAACTTCAACTCTCGTGAGAGGATACTTTGCAATGGTTTTGCTCAGCATTTTAGCGTGAGCTAATAAAACTCTAGCGCTTAGTTTTGCTCTCCTCATAATCAAGGTAGCGTTTACAATACGAACTCTTGTCTGTGGCGTAGATTCCATGAGACAGAAAGAATCCTTCGAGCGGATGAGTCTTAGGCGCATTTCCACGACATTAATCAAGAATTTATCCTGATTGAAGACGTCGCAATGTAAATGTCCTATGAGATCCACAGCACGGTTATTTTTGAAATACTGCATACGTCTCACGAAAACGGGGTTCTCAGTTGGAGCATCAAAGCCGTCATCCAACAGCCCCGGAGGATCGCTATCCCATAAACAGGTGGTGAGATGAGAGGATTTTGCCTCTGAAGTATAATTCAACACTTTCTCGAAATAGGCTCGATACGCGTAAGCATTGTTCGGAGGCGACACAAGCTTTTGATTAAAGTACACATCAATTTGATTGAACATGGAATGTAAAAAGTTATTTACAGGCCCTACTTTATGCTCTGCAGCAGTAGCGCTAGAAGCTGTAACCGAAGTAGGCGGAGTAACCGCTGCGGGGGTTTGCAATATCACGCGAAGACTGAGAAGAGTATGCGCGAGATCTATCTAATCTTCACCATGTCCCGGTACGACAAACTCCACGGGAGCATCGTCCGCAAGAGCCGACAAAGGTTTGTAATGAATCCATTGCAATCTCTCGATACTGGTCTGAGTGGGCGGTAGAGTGAAAAGATCAAGTTTGCTTTTAAATCACTCACACGAGTGAGTATGGAGAAAAGATATTTTGATTCGTCTACGAAAATATATCGCTCACGTTTTGTTTCTTGCTCACGCGACGTTTGCTAGTTTTTGTCGCGCGCTTCTTCTTCTTCTTCTTCTTCTTCTGAATTCCTCTACTCGTTGAGCGTGTAATTGCTCGAGTTTTCTTTTTTCTCCGCACAGAAGTCGATTTCTTGTTGGTGCTACTAGCACGACGGCGACGCTTGATCGCGAAGTGAACGGGGAGCTCACCAGGGTCAAACTGACTCGGGCGTTTCTTTGCAAGGGGTATATATCCCGACTCGCATTAAGCTGGTTATTTTTTCTTTTGCTTGTTTTTTGAGATTGTCACGTGATTCTTTGAAACGACTGTTAACTGCTTCTTTTAGCGGAATATTGTTATCTCCCACATCGTCTATTATTTTTACAACGTCGCACAGAGCTTTTTTTTCGGTCGCGCGCGCTCCGCTAGCTAGGTAAAGAAGCACCCTCCTGAACAATCCGCCGAGAAACCTTCCGATACCGTGACCACGCTGATACGTCGATCCCGTGAAAACTCTCGGAACACCGCCCCCGCTCTGCATCTCGTAATATTCCATATAGTGAGCCATATTCTACTCGATTACGCGTCTAAAGTTTAACGTTACCGTCAACGTGCCGAATTCGAATGGAATAAATTTACCAAACTGATCTTTTATATCTATTTATATCACGCAGAAATTTGTCTTACAAAGTGGAATATAATTTCCAGGCGAGTAATGTTTCACCTGATTAGAACCGTATTTATCCGTGGTATTGTTAGTAACGATTCGAAGAAGCGGTGTTAGCGCATCTCCGGTTATGTATGACTCGCAAATGTCGCGATAAACAAATAACTTGTCGGGGATAGCACGGGTCAAGCTGATTGATTTGAAACTATCAACACCGGCAGCTCTGTCTACTACGAAAGGTGTATTAACAGAGGATGATTCAAATCCGAGTATACGACGCAATTTGTCGCTAAGCTTTACACTATGAATTTGATTGCATTTGTCTTTTTTACATGTAAGCAATATAGAAACTTTATTACAACTTTATTACATAGAGAATTCAGTGACCATGTAATATGTGATTTTTCTTGAGAGCACGAATGATTTATAGCTTCTATAAGATCAGCTTCTGAAGAATAAATTTCCGACAAAATTGGAATGTTAATTGACAAAATATCGCCGTTAGGAAAGGTATTCGCGAGCGTTATCAAAACTTCATCTTTGCGTAAATGTAAAAACCTAGAAGGAAACTAAATCTCGCTGAGAGCAACTTCCCATTTTCCCTGCAAATCTATACGGCAAGGTAATTCCGTGGTAAAACACGAAGTGGTGTTGTGCGGGAAGTAAAGCATACTGCTATTGCTCGGGAAAACTACAAAAAAGTGTTCCTCCATTGTCACCATTATTGTTGCCATTATTGTCGTCACCTTGTGCAAGCGTTGTTAAACTCGAAGCCGGACTTCACGAGTTGAATTTAGACGGATAACTTTGCCAGCTAACTATCAGTTGCCTATTACGTTCCCAACCTTCGCTCTTTATCACCCAATCAACGATAAAAGTTTTTTCTTGTAGGTTTTTAACACTAGGAGCCAATTCTTGCTCGTAAAAAATTCCGTCTATACCCTCATCCGCTAAATCACTCAGCTCGTAAACGCGCGGATTTCGCCACTCGAGAACACGATGAATTCGAAATATCTTTTTGCGCCACTTGGCCTCGTATCTCTTCTCAAATGCGGCTTTCGCTCTACTGACACGTACGAGATCGCCGACGGAGTATTTAGCTGTTTTCGCTCGCTGTTTTGTCCAGCAATGCCACGTGTTGTCGCGCGCAATATTCGCGTTTTCCATCGTAACATCCGCGGGTTTCATGCGTATGGAAGAGTGCGACGTATGGTTGTACGCGTGCACAATATCTTGCAAGACATCGAGGTAACGTTTCGTGTTCTTGTGCGTGAAGTAGCGCCACATGCGCTCTTTTAGCGTTCTATTGAAACGCTTGATCACGGCTGCTTTAACGTCTGGATTACGCGCCACACAAAAACGAATTCCTTCTTCCTTGAGAAATTTTTGCAGCGGATGCGCGATAAATTCTTTACCTTTGTCGGTTTGCAGATATACGGGTCTTCGTCCGCCACTTCTCGAGAGCACGCGTTAAAACGCACAAAGGACTTGAGCACTTGTTTTTGTCTTGCAACAGTTCCACCCACGCGAATTTGCTGAGCACGTCGATAATTGTCAGTAGATAGCAATATCCGTCGTTATAGCTTCGCAAATTTCGCAATTCTATCAAATCAGCCTCCTAGAGATTATCGATATTCGTCACGTTGTAATGCAGTCGGGGAAACTTTCGATAATTGTCAGTAGATAGCAATATCCGTCGTTATAGGTTCGCAAATTTCGCACTTCTATCAAATCAGCCTCCTAGAGATCGTCGATATTCGTCACGTTGTAATGCAGTCGGGGAAACTTTTGCCGCACGAGACGATGTAGCGTGTAAACATCTTGCGAACGAAGCCAGCAAACAACGTTCTCGCGCGAGTAATTTGATTTAGCGGCTCGCGACAACTTTTCCGTCGACGAGTAACTGGCGTAATGCGCGGGAATATAATACAACTTGTCAAGCGTTACGTTTACATTTTGTCCCACGTGAGCAGCCGTCTCAGAATCTCGAATCGTATCTTTTTCTTGTTCTTGTCGGTGGCGCGGTAATCCCATCCTTCCACTTCGGCTTTTTCTTCTTGTTCAATACTATGCGGAGATTTGCGCTTTGTTCTTTATCCTCCTTTTCGCAAAAAGCGCAAATAATTAGGATTTCTCACGTATTGAGGAGGCGTGTTTATGTCGCGAAGTAAATGAATCCCAGTATTCCAGCGGTTTTTCTTTCTCGCATTGCATCGTTTACGAGTTCCACAATATTCGCTCCCACCAATTCTGGACTCTTGGTCACGANGCCGCGTTCGTTCCATGTGATCTTGACGGGAACAGCCGTTTCGATCAGATGATTCAAAAGCATTCGCGCTTTGGGGCAATAAGTTTTTGGAATTGTTTCTATTATGTTTGTTATAGTTTTTTGTTTGCGAGAGCTTGTTGCGCTGCTGTTGTTAAATGAAATATCTGCAAACAATACATTTTTCTTCGAAGTTGACTGATTAATCCGTTGATATTGATTATTATTATTATTGTGTCGTAATGGTGTTGAATAATGTTTTGGTAAAACAGAGGATGTTTGAGGCAAAGCGTCTATTGGTTCTTCCCCGTCGTGAAATAGTTCTCTTACTTCCTCGTCTTCCTCCTCCTTTTTCTCCTCTCCACCAGTCACAGCAGGTGTTTCCGCCACGGATGGACCTTCTTCTTTCCGAGAACGCTTTCTCGCTTTTTGGATAAAATATAAATATCGACGAAGTACTTCGCTGTACAATTTCCATTTTTCATCTTCATCAACAGGGGAATCGAGAATACGTCTCATCTCCGCGTCGAGACGCGAGAACACGGTTCCGGGAGTGCGTGTGGTATTAGCAGCGGTATTTTCCCCTGCCATTTGTTGTTGCATTTTTTCGAGATTATCCGTGGAAATTAGCACTATTTTTTTAGCCCGTTCCATGATTACTCGATAATTCGAGATAATAAAGCTGCGAGTATGGGCCCGACGATGTACGGTAAAAAGCTTTCTTGTTGCACCAGCAGGTTTCTCTTGCACCTCCAAGTACCTCTTTGTTCCGCGATACGTCGCAGCGCCGTTTTGTATCGGATTTTGCGGTTCTTCTCTCTTTTTTTGAGCGGTACGTTACCTCTGAGCGTATTGTGGACACACTCGCGAATACACACAATGAATTTGTTATCAGCGTTTCGCAGAAAAGCAGCGCGTTGATTTTTATTTAGAAGACACAGAGCTTTCAGTAGACAGCTGTTTCACCGAGAGAGCGCTTAGCTCTAATATGCGCTTTTTGTTGCTTCTTTCGCTCCTTCGTCGCCGACGGCATCGTAGCTTCGAATGATGCCCTTCACTCGTGTGCTTCGGGTTTTGATACGCTTGTTTTCACGCGAGGGATCTGCGGTGTACGTACACGTAATGACGCGGATCGTTGGGAAAGATACACATTTGAAAACGATATTCGTCCGGAGTTGATTGTTTTAAATCGAGCAGTAAATAACCGTGAGGACGCTAAGTAGCGTCGTAAAACGCTTCTTCCAAAAATTTTACGTCGTCAGGATAGACTTGACGCGCAAGATGGCGAATTTACGCGCGATCACGCGGGTTCTTAAAAACAATGTAATTTGCATTCAGCAAAATATCGCGTTGACCGCGTCCCTGATGAAAGAGATTCTGTGAAATAAGTATAACGCTAAGATTTTTATGATGGCTACCCTTGGTAAACGAATCAACGATCACTGTGCACGACGACGATTCTCGCATAAGATCGTCGATTATTATTAATATCGCACAAAGCGGGTCGTTCGAGTAATCTTTCGGGCAGGGTAGTCTTTCGCGAAATTCGATTTTACATTTTTCCGTCGTCATCTTGCGTTGCAATTCGAGATAAGCTTCTTGCCACTCGCCGTAATAAAATAAAATTTTTCCGAATCAAATATTTGCCATTTTTGGCAAATAACGGAAAAAAGTCTTTACAAAAATTGTTTTCCCGCATCCTGTAGGACCGCAAACAATTGACGTCCAGGGATGTTTCCAGCGCACGTCCATTTCGAAGACTGTGCAAAGTGCCGCTTGTATAACTCTTAAATTAAACTGTTTTTGGTTTGCGACAATGAGTTCACCATCGCGCGTTGGGCTCTGCGGCGGCTGCTTTTCGCCGCGACAACGAGCTAATTTTCGTCGCGGCAACTGACTCGGTGAGCTTATTCCGGATGATTGAAAAGCTGTTTTCATGAAAAATCACCTTATTGTTGCGCGCGCAAAAATAAGCTCGTCAAACGCGCGCGCCAATATAAGCTTATAGTTTTTTGTTGAAGTTATATCAAAAAAGCAGTTTCTAAGGATAAAAGAAAACAGAGATCGGGAAAAAGAAATCTTTTAATTTTGTTTTAAGAAAAATTTAATAACACTAAAATATTACGTTTTACAAAATGTGTACATATTGCTTAATCTACTAACATGTACAGAAAATCACGCATTTTATAACCTTAGTTTTACACACGATTGTTAAAATAACTTATATATTTTTCTTTCATTGCACAAAGCGCTTGCTTACATTATGATCTATTTGGACGAAAAACATATATACAATTTTTAATCTTATTAATACGTGTAAAATATACAAACTATTTGCATGAGAATGCACGAAAAAAAGTCTTATTCTAAGTAACTATATGGAACGGAGCGTCGCTCGTCGATAAATCTACGCTTCAGCAAAACCGGCGAGCAGATTTTTGATTCGTCCCGCGTCACAACCTCGTGAAACGCGGTGAGACGAATCGCTCTAAAATGCAGATTTATTGACACATTTTCTTCTTTTCTCTCTCTTCTTATTTCCCTACCGTTAGTGAAATTAATTATGCGGGAGGTTGCGGAATTGAGAGTTATTCCCTTGATTTTACACATCTCCCGCGCGCCACCGTCCGGAGTACGAACTACGTACGCATAAAATTTCGGGCCACCGGATACAAACGACTCGATGTAACTACCACGGGCGTAGCTTTCAAGCACGTCCGTCATATCGCCCAGAAAATTTTCCGTACGCGGTTCGTATTTGCCGAGTTTTCCGCTGCTCACATAATTACACGAATTTGTATCATAATAAAGAACGCGCTCGCCTAAACGTTCTAAATATTCGTACAGTCTCAATCGCGCCTGTGCCGTCGTGTACACCGCTATTATCACGTTGGTAATCGGAGAAGGTACGACCGCCTTGTCCCGCATTCGCCACGAAACATATATTACCTCGTCATTCACAGATAATATATTGATTACCTCGTGCTCGGGGTTTGACAATAGCGATAGGAGACGTTCCTGCGACTTTGCCACCTCGGTACTCGTCAAGTTCAATTGTTGTCCGAATTTTTCCCAAAACGAATTAAGGCACAGCTTTGCAACCGAGCGTAATTTTGGATTTTGCGCAATGTTTGTTCTATCTAGAGCAATACCCTCGACTGCTTCGTATTCTCGAAAATATCGTTCTTTAGATTGGTCGTCCACGCATTTGCTCGGCCATCCGCTTGCTTCTTGCTTCAATTTAAGAAAACAGTTTATGTATTCACCAAATACTCCCCCCTGACGCGTATCAGCGTCGTATTGGCTCGTCTCGTATTGCCATATCTCGCTTACTGCAGTCACGAGATAACTCTTTTCTACAGCTTTGCGTAATTCACACGATACCCACACGCCCTCGAATTCACGATCGCGCGAATTTTCGTGCGAGCACTGTGTCTGCGAGAAGTTTTCGCAGCAACTGCGGCACAAGGCAAAAAGCACTTTGCCCTGCACACGGTACGGAAGTACAGGGTGAAAGAGATTGCGCGGAAAGAGCACTCTACAACGCACAAGCTCCTCGACCGCGGAAAAATCGACACCGGGCATCGCCCCGATGAGCAAGGCGCACTCTTTTTGTCCGACAAGAATTTTCGGATGTCTATTTGGGAAAGCGTCGGTTTTCAACACGTAAAGGTATAGAGAACACACGTCTACGTAAGGTATCTTCTCCGTACCCGTAACTTCGCGCCGAACCGCGATGTTTTCCGTTCGACCGCCAAAAAACGCGTCACGCGGTGAAAGCGGTTCAGCCGCGAGCATCGGATGATGGTCTAAAAACGGACGCATTTCGCAATTTTCCCGCGTATTGCGATCAAAAGCGCACTCTCATTTCTCCGTCACGATGTACCCTACCTTCGTTTGCGAAGACGCCATGACGTTGTCAGTGTACGCTCGTATCTCGAGTTCGTACACTTCGCGTTACCCCGTGCGGAGACGTTTGTTGCGATCCGTTTTAAAACACACGGGACACCCGTGCCAAAAGCAGCCGTGGTATTGCAACACGTGACGCTCACCGTTTGCCGTCTTGTAATACCCGTCGACGGGAATGCCTCCGACTTCCGCAAGACGATGTTCTCGCCCGTGACCCGCGTAAACAATGATGCGGCCGAGCTCGCGCTCCTTCCACACCAGCCACTGCAGAGCTTTGCGGGATTGCGTATCCGCGAGGAGATATTTGCTGCGAGGAATGACGCCGATCTCTTCCTCACGTAAAAAGTTTTTGCAAAAAACGCGCATACATGTGGAAGCGATGGTCGTGCATTCTTCGAACGGACATACGCTTCCGCGTTCGAGAAATATCTTGCGGAAAGCCATGCACGCTCCCCGCAAGATATCAACGTCGTTACGACAATAACGAACTATCTCGTGTTGAAAGTCAAAAACTGCGTTTTCGCGCATCTGGTCTGCGTGCCACGACAAAAAACGTTTGCGTTCTTCGCTAGACATACTATCCGGCGAGTAATATTCAACGGCTGGTAACGGACCGACGTACGACTGATTCGCGAGTATGTTAAATAAATGCGGAAAATATCCCTTTTCCACCCCACCCCGCAAACCAAAAATCTTCGGCACAGCTGACAAACGCATCGGCATATAGTTGATACTGTCACTAAATTTCATACGCCCGGCCGTTAATACGACAATCTTTGTCCCGTTTAATATTACTCGTGGATCCAAATCGACACGTTTTTCCGTGATGTAACAAAGGATGAACTGCGCGTCGAACGCCTTGGTGTTGTGCGCGATGCAGATAATCTGCTTGAAACATTTCGTCGTTTTTGTAACGAAATCGACGAATTGCCTCACCGGATCATCGCGGAACACGAATTCGCGCACACCGCACCACCGGCAACGTACCGTCATGTCGTTTCCGCCCGCACACGCGACGCATATCTGCTATGCGACGCAAAAAGTGGGCACGTGAATTTTCACAGACGCACAGACCTTCGAGCGTCTCATCCTGTCGGGTCTCGAAATCGTAGAACACGAATGCGACGCGCGCGTTTTTCCCTTTGCCGGTGAAATCCTCGCGTGCAAGAGGTCGAATATAACAAAGATGGTTTACATCTTGACGCAAACTGTAAATGTTACAAAACACGACGCCGCATACGTGCCCCGCACCCGCTGTTCTGTACAAACGCCCGCAATCGTCACAAAATTGCAAGGCGCTGCACACGCTCACGCGACCGTCTCCGTACGATTTTTCGGCTCGGTGACACTTGAAACACTCGCGCCCGTAAAACATTCTCTTACATTGCTTGCATCGAATTAATTCTACTTTTTCTGTTTTGCATGAAGGCACACCGCGACAACGCGGAAATTTATGCAAGCATCAATGAACTTCTCGTTTGGGATGATAAGGCAGGTTGCAAGGAATGCAGTATCCCTGCTCTTCGCCACCGCTCTTTAATTTAAAATCGGGCAAACGCAAACCCTCGCAATAAAGAATATTTAAACGTAGCAAGGATTCGTGTCCAAGAGAGGCGAGCAACGCACCACCGTCGTACAACGCTTTTTCGTCGTTAGCGAAAGTAGACGTGGCGTAAACAATTACACAGCCACACAAAAAAAAATGTTCTGGCCTGGGGGTCAGACCATGTTTACTATATGTTTTTGGGGTCGCTGAAACCGAATCCAAAGTCCATTTAACTCTATCACATCAGGTTTTGGACATAACCTCAAAAAACCTATAATTCAAGCCTAATTAGCCAGTTATATCAAATATATTTAACCAATTAACTCTATAAGAGGGTCCTGAACCGTCCTGTTATTACCGCTTGACCGAGTAATTCGTATTACCAAGTGTTTTTCATAATTACTGCTCTGATAGGAAAACGGCTCTACAGATTAAAAGATAATAATAAAATTTTAATCTCGGACATTTTTCGATATATCAAAAATGTAACAAAAATTTTTGATGTTACAATTACCTCTACTTTTAATGTACTGATATTTGAAGTTCAAGGGTTATGCATGAAAACTAACTAGTGTCCGAAATAGACGTAACATTCAAGAATGTAATGAGACTATTAGACTCTGATTTGGATACCTATAATAGACAAACACTTGATACAACGTTTTGTGTTCACGTTTGCTAGCATTTCAGTGCTAAGAATATAAAAATAATTAGTATATAGTTCACGGATATTGGAACAGATGGCGCTGCAACATGTCGATAAAAAAAATTGCTACTATCTCTGGTTTTCTAAGCAAATGTGTACACAAACCGTATTATAGATTGTTTGTGTCATGTAGGCTTCCAAATCAAAGTCTATCAATAATCTCATTACATTCTTGAATGCTATGTCTATTCCAAAAACTTTTTGGTTTTTATGCCTAACTCGTAACCTGTAAATGTCACTACTATAAAAGTGGAAGTGATTGTGACTTTAAAAAATTCTAACATGACATGTCAAAATACCACTGAACGTGTAAATGAAAAATGAAATGTGCACGTAGTTTAGATGTTGTTTTTATATATTGTGTTGTATTCAGTTGTGTTATATAGTGTGATTATTTTGTGTTATGTGATTCTTTAAAC